GAAGAGCGAAGGATCTGCAATTCCAAGATAAAATCGGAGTTTTTAAGAACTCGAGGATCCTTAACTTTCGAAAATTCAATGATCCGACACTTTGCGCCTCCTTCGCGAGCACCTTAAAGGGTTATTATCGCCGCGGCGATTAGTTAGTTAGTGTAGAGCGTTATATTGTTAATGCTTGTGTTGTGAAGAACGCATACACCCATTGCTGTGCAAGCTGCTCCCTTGTAAATAAACCCGAATAAACTCTTGTACCGAGCGTACCGTTCCGAATATTTCCTCTGGCCATCATGCGTTTATTTCTCGTTATTCGCGAAAGTTATTTCATTCAAATTAGACGATTTTGAGACTTTTATGCAAATTTTGACAAAGTTGCAAATTTTAATATTTATATAAATGCATTTTTAATAATCTATAATCTGTATAAAAATCTATACATTATTATATAATTGCTTATCAAATAACAGAAATATTTCCTATTATAGATCATTTATCGTCACAACGCAGATATATTATTCTTCGAACAGATCGCTCCAGCATCTACTTTCTCATACCTTGCTGGCGTGGGTAAATCTGTATTTCCGAGGTAAGAAACCATTATAACGCAGTGATTCTGCTCGAGCTGGCGTGTACACGCTTAGGCAAATGTTGTTGGTTCTGTATGGTTAACCAGCTACAGGATGCCCCGTTTAAAGGCATCATCACGCGATCCTCAAGCCGACCGTGCGATTAGGGGATGAAAGAGTCACCGTCTATGCTGGGAAAGCGAGACAGGCTTGACCGCCAACGCGTCACGAGATCGCGCTCTCGCAAACGGTCGTCGTTTCCGGCGATGGACATTTTTATTAACACACATTCCGTATATTTATCGTGTTACAAAACATTGATAACTACACATATACGTGTCCATAAGAGTGTATGTGTGTGTGAGAGAGAGAGAGAGAGAGGGAGAAAAAGTTGAATTAAATATTAAATCTTTAAATTTAATATAAAATATAAATTTTTATGTCAAGCAGCTTTTTTAGATAATTTCTAAAAAGCTTAATGTGTTTAATGTAACAATTACGATATTATTTGATTGACGTTTTATTTATTTGCTCTTTTAAAAATTTATAAACGCAATTTTTATTACAGCATGTCGATTAAAGAAATTCATTTTCTTCTATTGGATGAAATTTACCGTTCATTGAAATATTTGCTTTATTAATTTGTCGAGCGATGATTGTGTCGTAAAGTGGACAGGATAAATGCATTTCCATCGTTATGGCCATTCGTATCAGACGGGAATTAAAATGAATAGACGGCTGAGCTGCCGATCCATTCTTTGGCTGTAAATCACGCGTCGCGTTTGCTACGAAAAGATCCGGTATTAGCAGGACGAGAGAGAAAAGGGCAAAAAGCGGCGCAATGGCAACATCGAAAATGTTCGCCGTTTTGATTAACATTCGTTTTGATTATGACCTCTCCCATCGTAAAGCACGCGATTGCGATCGCACCTTCGGGAGATTGACGGTGCATAAGATTTCTCCGCTCATTAAAATGAAATTACCTGCATTACCTGCAAATAACTTTGCGATTGAGAGTGCAATTTTCAAAAAAAATCTCAGACAGAAAAATGTTTAAAGACGTCTTAATCTCTTATTATCAGATATCCTTCACAAGATTTTCTCTCTCTGTTGTTAAGATTCTCGTGTTGTTTGACATGTTACATTTTAAATACTTAATATAAGACATAAATTTTATTAATTTATGAATTATTATGTCTTTTAATTACACAAAACGTGTGTCACACAGGATTCCAATAACTTTGCAACATATATTTGTTTATATTTTGTTATATTTCTTTTATAAATTCATTCTTACGACTTTAAATCGAAGAAAATTCAGACATTTCGTTCATTTAAAGCGTTTCCTGTAGAACTGTAATTCCGTGCAAGAGAACGGCGCGTTATCCTGGACAGGAGGCGGACGGTTTCATCAGGCCTGGCCGGTCCCGCAGGACACACTGCGAGAAACCGCCGTCGCGAAAGGCATCGGAGAGCGGTGGCGTTTTAATGCAGAATGAAGGCATTATAAACCCATTAGCCAGTGGGCCGAGCCCATTCGCTTTTGCGTGCGAATGTGCGTGCACATTGCCGCCGCTCTTTATTTAAATACACAAAACATTAACGGCTTTGCTCGTCCCGGTCGCCGCGCGGCTTTGTTCGTCCTAAACGTATCTCGGCGCCGATGTTGTTCGCATCCTTCTGTCGGGAATTTTTTTTTACTCAGACGACGGTTGGTCCCTTTGCCAATCTCTTTGTCCGTTAATTTAACCACTCCGATAAGTTTCTTACTTCGTAAATACGTAAATAAGTTGATTTTTCTTTGATATACATGCTTCGATATAATAGATATATTTTCACAGATTGTTTAAAAAAGTTTAATTCTTTGAAAATATTTTACCTTTTAGTTTAATAATTGTCGTTTTACTTTACTCACATAACTCGTATTTTACAAGATTTTATACCGTACAGTATTCATTAAAGTAACACACCCCTTTAGCTATAACGTGCGTGTAGTCTTGTTTTTATTCTCTATTTTTCGTATTTGCTGCATTTCCTTGATACCTCGATCAAGGTATCATGTTATTCTTCGTGCCTCATTATGTTAATTTGTGCTTTGCAATCTAATTCCTTGTAAGTAAAATCTCCCTCGAGGATGATTTGTAAAATACTCCTGCTTTTCCTCTCTCTCTCCCTCTCTCTCTTTCTTTTTATTCCGCTTTTCTATACCGACTCTGTTCGTTTCTCTTTCCCCCTCTTTTTCTCTCTCTCTCTTTGTCTCCTTACGCCTTCTTCCTCCAAGGAATACTGCGTCAGCTTTAATAACAACTTGCTTAACCGACTCACGGCACCGCTCATGCAGTGTGTCTGTTAAATCGTTAATTACCCCCGCGAGAAGGTGAGATCGGAGAAACAACGAAGGAGGGACGAGAGAGTAAGAAGAGCCAGACCTAAACGAACAAATGCAGAGAAAGAAAGAGCCAGTTGGCGAACGAAGGAAAGCAATGTCGATGGTCCAGGACGAAAAACGGCGACGATCGGAGTCGTTTCGTCGTACCCTTTTTTTCTCGTCTCCCCTCTGTCC